GACGGTGTTCGGGGGTGGTCGACGGCAGTCGATGACCGTCGACGGAGGACAATAGTGATCAACGGTAGTTGATGGTGGTCGACAGATGTCGGCGGTGGTCTCCGACGGTCGATGGTTGTCGACAGCGGTCGGTGGTGGTCGACGAAAGTCGACGATGGCAGAGATGATGTTGGACTTGAGTTTTTTCCCAAAGCCTAAAGTTCTCTCTCCCCCTTATCTCTTAAGTCTCCTCTCTTTCATGTGAGGGGTGAGCCTCTATTTATAGTGTTTTGAGTGCAATTAATGCAAGAGTATGAACCATTTTGATCAGACGGTCCTGAGAGCTTCCCTCGATCAAATGACGTTTGATGGGCATTTGAGTGCCTTACGATGTCAGAATTGAGCAATCTCAGTCTCGTTGGATTCCTCTTGTCGAGACGCTCGATGCGATTATAAACTCGCTGAATTTGACATTTGTTTGATCTTTCAAATGTGTCTAGAAATCGTTCAAGAATGATTTAATCACTTGATCTGCGCTTGATTTAAATCAGATTGGACTAACTTTGATATGATTAGTTTTGTTTCATCGAGTCGGTCAGTTTGACTACAACTGTTGAAATCGGAGCTCTGAATGACTTTTAATTGAAACTTGAATATTTCTCGCTCAAAAGGTTGCCTCGAGATTCTTGTCATGCCTCGAGATTTATGATGAATGATGAAAATTTGTTAGTGATGTATCAATACTAACTTAAAATTAAAATTAAAGCTAAAATTATTAAAAAAAAATCTTTATCCAAAAAATTTTGGCAACTTGTTTAATGAAAACGCCCTTCAGGCTTAAAAAATAAGGTGTTCTTTATCTTTTCAATTTTCTCTTAAGCTCCTGTTCATAAAAGTTAGTTAGACAAACTTTCTTTCTTTAAATTATGTCTATAGAAATTGACCAGTTCTTAGTATCCTATACTATTTTAAAATAAATTTGAAATTTTTATAAGCTCGCTGGTCAGATATCCTCATCAAAATTCTCTCCCCTAATTATTAAGCCAAGCAAGGTGGGGCGCCGTTGGATGAAGAATAACTGGAGCCACACCAGAAGACTGCATACTGTACGTCAATGGTGGGAAAGAAGGCAATTATTAGTCTAAGTTGGCTGCCGGAATTATAAAAAGCCCTCAATGCGCCGATGCTCTCACAAAAAACGCCATTCTTACTTTGAAGCTGCTCTTTCACAAAGGTGAGTTCAGCAAATAGAGCTGGTTTTAGTTGCAGCGTATTTTCTGCCCTTTTATATAACCCTATTGCGTTAATGATGAGCTACTTCAAAAATGTCGGAAAAGTTCGCTTTTTGTTGATTTCTTCTATGTCTTCTCTTGTGGCATAACCTCAGTTTTTGGATTTTGCCTTCTAAATGTCTGAACTTGAACTTTGAAGCAAGAAGGATACCAATTTCAATTTTTTTTAAGCTTATTGTTTTATTTTTTCAGCTTTCTTGAGCTTCGGCGCTCAAGGCATGGGGTTTAAGCTAGCCTTTGTTTTGTTCCTCTTCGCCGTTCCTGTAATTTGGTGTAAAGATGGCAATGATGTGACAATTATTGTAAAGGGTTCTGTTACAGAAGCTGAAACTGATGATAATTTCGTGTGCGCTACGCTTGATTGGTGGCCACCTGAGAAGTGTAATTATAAGCACTGCCCCTGGGGAAAGTCTTCTGTTTTTAATTTGGTATGATTTTCATGGTTTTTTTAAGCGTTGGAATGTTTATTACTTCATGAAATAAATTTGATTCATTTGTTTGTAGGATTTGAATCATCCTATTCTTTTCAAGGCCATTCAAGGTATGTTGTTTCAGTTCAGTACTGCTTATCCATGTATTAAAGATGAGTTTTTTTTTTTTTTTGCTGTCTCATTCCTTAGTTTTTTTAATGACAAGAAGAATGTTACGTACTCTTGCTATTTGGTTTCTTAACTTATAGGAAATAGTTTTTTTTTTTTTTTTTTTTTTTTTTTTTTTTTTGGTTTTCTGGTATGTTTTCATTAATGGCTTGAATCTCATTGAACATATCTTCTGTTTTGCTGCAATTTTCAGCCTTTGGATCACTGCGAATAAGGGTTGGAGGTTCTTTACAAGACCAGGTCAAATATGGTGTGGGAAGTTTAGCTTCTACGTGTGATGCAATTACCAAAATGTCCGGGGGGCTTTTTGGATTTTCAAAAGGATGTTTGAGAATGGAAAGATGGGATGAGCTGAACCGTTTGTTCCAAAAGACTGGGTATGTTCTGCAACATTTTGTAATTCTATTTTTGTTTCAATTTTATCAATACAGAAACCAAAATACATACCATCTGTTGTTGCAGGGCTGTCATAACATTTGGTCTGAATGCTCTCTATGGGAGGCATCAGGCGCAGAAGGGCTTCTGGCACGGTGCTTGGAACTCCACCAATGCTCGTGATTTTATAAACTATACTATTTCGAAGGGATATCCTGTTGATTCATGGGAGTTTGGTAATCCACTTTGAATCATAACTTATAGTTTAAATTCAACTTTATAATCATAAAGTTTCCTCTCTGTATTTTCAATCATAAATCTCTGAATTGACTATGACTGACATGATTCTTCTTCAACTTACTTCCATGGTTCAGGAAATGAGCTGAGTGGACGTGGTGTAGCTGCTAGAGTTGATTCTGAACAATATGGTAAAGATTTAATTGGTCTTAAAGCCATTCTTGATGAGCTCTACAGAAAATCGCGCACAAAACCGCAGTTGGTAGCGCCTGGTGGGTTCTTCGACGATCAGCAATGGTATGCTCGGCTCCTCGAGGTTTCGGGACCTGGTGTTCTAAATGCCATGAGCCACCATGTCTACAATCTTGGTGCTGGTGAGATCATTACTTCCATTTTCTTTCATGTTATAACTTGCTTTATCAAATGTATCAGAAAAAGAAATCTAAATTACAAATCATACCATATTGTTTCAGGAAATGATCCTCACATAGCAAGCAAAATTACAAATCCGAAATATTTAAGTTCGTTTGCTGATACATTCAGAAACGTTCAGCTCACCATTCAGAGACATGGACCATGGTCATCAGCTTGGGTTGGCGAAGCCGGCGGCGCGTACAACAGCGGCAGCCGTCTGGTCTCCAACACCTTCCTGAATAGCTTCTGGTAATTCATTATTTCCTGTAATTCTTAATCACTCAATCTTTTGCAATGATGAACTGAAGACTAGAATTATATTATCATTAAGGTACTTGGATCAATTAGGAATGGCATCGAAGTACAAAACAAAGGTTTACTGCAGACAAACATTGATTGGTGGTAATTATGGTCTTCTGGACACACAAACATTTAAACCAAATCCTGATTATTACAGGTGAGGATTTGTAAATGTTGTTAAAAATGAATTCTGATGTAGATAACTTGATTCTGAAGTTTGTACTTTTTGACATGTTGAATAGTGCGTTACTTTGGCATCGGCTGATGGGGAAGGGAGTTCTCAGTGTTGATATTAGTGGATCTCCATTTTTAAGAGCCTATGCTCATTGCAGCAAACAGAAAGTAGGAACTTTCTTCTTTTTTTTTCTTATATATTTGACTGTTTACATGGAGTCATTTTAGTCCTTCAGTCTACAAAAATGTCAAATTAGTCCCTAAATTATTTAAGTTGTCTCATCTTGCCCATATTATAAGTGTCTGGTAACTAAATTGACATTTTTATAAGCTCTAGGACTAAAATGACGCCATAAAAACAGCCATGGAGTTCTATATTGACACTTCATTCCTATTTTGATAAATCTATCAATCTCCATTACAGTCAGGTGTCGTCGTGCTCTTGATCAACCTAAGCAAATCGGAGAAATTCAGCGTGACGGTTCGAAATGATCTCAATGTAGATCTTGCAGAAGGAAGCGGCATCGAAAAAGATAGCTCTTTCATGCGAGATCTTAAACAGACAGTTTCATGGATTGGAGAGACAGCTTCAGATGCTTCTGAGAAAAGGGAAGAATATCATCTAACTGCGAAGAATGGGGACTTTCTCAGCAGAACAATGCTTTTAAATGGGAGTCCTCTGCAACTCAACAAAAATGGAGAAATTCCAGCACTAAATCCTTCACTGGTTGCTAATAGTTCTCCCATAGTTATAGCTCCCCTCTCCATTGCGTTTGTTGTGTTCCCAAATTTTGAAGCTCTTGCTTGTGTTTGATTAGATGTTGTTGATTTGTTTGTGTTATTTTGTAGTTGTTGATTTGTTTGTTGGGTTCGTTTAGGTGATTGTGGGAAGAGAGAGATTAGAAAAATAGTAATAAAGTTTGATGTTTTTCTTTTTAAAATTGATGTAATTTTAAACTGATATGGGTTGTAGAATACAGAGATTTCATTAGTTTATTTGGCTAATTCTTGATAGAAAAGGTTAAATTGCAATGGAAAGCTTTTTCTAATTTTTATAAATTATATGATGATAAGTAGTTTCTTAGAATAAGATTTAATGCATTTAATTGGTATTCAACAAATAATATCTATATTTAAGAAAAAAATAATACTAAAAAATATGACTATTTGTAATAATGTAGAATTAGAGTTAATTGAACATCATTGTAATTTAAATAATAATAATAATAATAATAATAATATTTTAAAATATTTTTTTATTGGCTAACAACCAAATGCATATCTAGAATAGCATGTAGATTTCTTCTTCAATGTGTGACTGCTTGACAGATTGCCATTTGACATCTGACATTTGGCATTTGACATTTGATGTTCCCTAAAGCCAAATTTTCCACAAACTAACTAAGCGACATATTTCAGAGAACCAACTAACCTCCCTTGCAAGGCAATATCTACAGGAACAGATGGGGTTGCTAAACTTCTTTAAACCACAATTTAGTTGATCATGCAATTTTCACTAACCATAATTATCTAAGTAACCTCAAAGGTCCAATTTTGAATAATCAATTCTGACCAGGATTTATTGAAAAAATATCAGCTAAGAAATGAATGCATAGTTAATTAATATTGCAAGAGAAGAGGGTAAAGAGACATACATGACTTTGTTCAAATCATTGTGTTGAACAAATTTATATTATATTATTTATTTATTTAAGTAAAGGAGATAGGATGGAATTCAAATGGACACTGAAATCTCCATGGAAGAATTGTTCAAGCTCTTTATGAACATATAAAGTTTACTTTTACTATGCCATTTTGAACAGTCTACCCTATGAAGAGATAAAGCAATTAATAGAAGATAACAACTCACCTTGCTTGTATCACTAAGATAGATTCTACTAAGGAAATTTATCCCTTTTTTTGGTTCTTTGCCATTTTCTATAATTGTGAATCATGTTAGCCTTTTTAATTATATGAAAAAATAGAAACTTAAGAGGTTCATTTTTGTCCTCCCAAAGTCTTAATATCAATTATTTTTTACCCTTTTTTTATTATATTTTCCGTAGGAATTTTAAATAAATGATAGTACTTTTAGATGCCCCATATTTTTAAAACACACTTGCCAAAATATATGCTTGTTAATTTGCCCAAGAAAGAGAAGGGATAATTAAGACTTCAAGGCACTTGAAGCAAAGAAGAACACTATTAAAGTATATAATTAAAAGAAACAAGATTAGCTTAAGAAAGAGATCACATTACTGTAAGTTGAAGTTGCGCGGAGAATCTTTAATATATTATTGCGAGATTGAGGATTATAACTAAGATGCTCGTGATCATATGCTTAGTTTTTAACTGAAGAATCTAGAACATAAATGTTTTGAGGAAGGTAGCATCTGAGGCTTTCTAAAAGGAGTTTATATGACCTCACAACATTTTTAATTATGAATAAATCCTCAAGTATAACTTGACTAAAATGACACCAAAAGATAGAGACGCCTACTCTAAAAATAAGGGTGTATTATTACAAGATGATGCTTTTGGTTCTTAAAAAACATTTGATCCACCTTGGACCTATATCCTCAATCTCTTAATCAAACCTAATGGGTTCATATTTATAATAAAAGAGCTTTAGGGTTAGAAGTCTCATATTTTTACTAGAGGTTTTTAATATTGCTATTTACAAATCAAGCTCTTTCATCCAATCGTGAAATCCTCACTCAAATATCAAAATTCATGATAAAACCCAATCCTTACTTTTTCATTTTTATTCAATCCTCAATAGTTTGATGTGGCGTGCATAAATATATCGATTCGGTAGTTCAAAAAATCACATGAATGTTTGATTTGTAAATAGCAATATTTCAGATGTTATGTATGTAAAAGCCCCTTTATTTTATTTTTTTGGCTTTGAGTCTCCAAACAAAACTTTGCTCCAATGGTTAAGAATGATTAAACTTAAATACAAACTCTATTTAAAATTATGCAATCTTATTTTTGTATCAAAAATCAGAGTGTGGCTCACGGTTCATCAATGTATTATGAGGCATACTCCTCTTCCACATTGAACCGCACATAAAAAATGTTATTTTTCTTATTTTAATAATTATTAAATATTATCTCATGCCCCCTCCAACCCTCACACCCTCTCAACCCTAACGCTTGGTCAACTCACCCAAATTAAGGAAATCGTGACTATTTTCAAGGAAATTGTTAGTAATTGATGTCATTGGTAAATATTTATCATCTAACATGAATCTTGAGAAGTGGCATAAATCTCAAGTTAATTTTTTAGTTAGAAATGTTCAAACTTATTTAAAAATCATATAGGACTCCGATTTCAATAAATTTATAGTTAAACTGACTGGCTTGACCATACAAATACAATGTCATCAAAGTTGGTCCGATTTAAGTCAAACCAAGGCCACATCTAGTCGTAAAGTCATTTTTAAAAGCTTCTAGTGCCAAATTGAAATGTTAACCAGATTCTAAATCAGAGAAGATCATCCTTAAATCTAGCATCTCCATAAGACGAATTCAACAAGCCTAAGATCACTCAATATTGACACTTTTAAGGCACTCAAATGTCTTCAGAACGTCGTCTGATTGAGAGAATCTCTCTAGGTTGCTCGATAGAGTGATCTAGATTCTTTTTTTATTTATAGAGATGTCTCTCCTAGACACTATAAATATATCTCTACCTCCTTCATGAAAAAAAAGAATGAGCTAGACCTTGAGCCAAAAAAAGACTGGAGCTTAGAGCAAAAGGAGCTAAAGTCTGGTGTTTTACATTAAAGGTCCAACGAACGCCACCCACTTCTACTGCTGCGACCACATTCAATCATCGCTCGTTGGCCACCATCGACTGCCCTCTACTCAATGCAGCAAGCTCTGACTGTAGTCAAGACTTACATTGTGGAGAGAAAGCATTGTGCAAAGTAACAAATGATGTTATGATGTAACGATGTGCTATGATGCACCCTGAAGACGGTGTCATGATGTGGACTGCATATGGTACAAGGGCGCACCCCTAAGATGGTGTAGCAACACACATTGAATATGGTGCAATGACACGCCTCATATAGGGTGTAAGAATACACCACACATGTGATGTAACAATGCACCCTACATACGATGCAATGACACCTCTCAAAGACGATGTGATAACGCACCCACAATAATTGCTTACAAACATCATACTCTAGATATGTTGACTTCTTCCAAACTCATGAAGACCTCCCCTTACAGTTCACCACTACGACCTATGTGGTCCACAACTTATGCATCTCCCAAATCTAACCTCTACGGCCTATGAATGTTATCACAACCCGTGCAGCTCCCAACTCTGACCTATACGACCTGCATGCATTATCTCAGCTCATGCAACTCTCAACTTTGGCCTTTACAACTTACAGACATTATCTCAGCTCATGCAACTCACAACTTCAACTTCAACGACCTACGGATGTTATCACAACTCATGCAGCTCCTAACTCCTGCCTCTGCGACCAATGGACATTATCTCAGCACATGCAGCTCACAATTTCCGTCTTTGTAACCTATAGATGTTATCATTTATCACAGCTCATGCATCTTCCATCTTTGACTTTTATGGCCTACAAAAGTTATTATAGCTCCCTGTTATGGCCTATGTGACTACTTACGGCCTATGTAGCTCATAGCTCATATTGTTTCCAAATCTAGTCTCTGAAGCCTATGAATATTATCATAGTTCATGCTACTCCCAACTCAGCCCATTGCGGCCTACGAACATTATTACAGCTCATTATTGTGGACTATTTAACCAACTATGACCTGCGTGACTCACAACTCATGTAGCTCTCAATTGTGACCTCTACAACCTATAACCATTATTATAGCTCACCACTACGACATATGTTCTACAACTCATGCAGCCCCCACTCCGACCTCTGTGACCATAGACGTTATCACACCTCACTATTATATATTTTGTGATAAACTACAGCCTACATGGTCCACAACTCATTCAGCTCCCAACTCCGAATACAATGGCCTACATACATTAATGCAGCTCACCACTATGCGCTATATGACCAAATATAAACTACGTGACTCACAATTTATACAGCTCCCTACTATGATCTCTGTGGTCAACTAATGCTTCTGAAACAACCATATATTACCCACATGAAAAATTACTACCACAAATTTCAACTATAGCCTCCACGACAAGCTGGCATCACTGCTCCTTTCTATAATTTTTATGATGGGCTACTGCCTTCATAGCAATTGACAATGGTCATTACAGACCGTTGCAACTATTATTGTTGAACTACTATTGTACATCAACAATATAAATCCACATTCTCTAATTTAAAAGAAGAGTGGACATGTGTACTCATAATTATATAATAAATTATGTCAACTTGGTTAGGCTCTGTAACTTTTTTTCCATCTCAAAATTTTCCACGTAAAAAGTTGAATTATTCTCTCTTGCCTTCTTTTTTACTTGAGTTTGTGTTTAATTTTTGGGCAATACTAAGACGTTAAATAATTAATCTACCATCATAAAACTTCTGCCAAGGCATCACTAATATTTAATTAACCCTTCCCCTAATAAAGGAAGATTTACATGCATACCACTAGATTTACATGCATACCACTCAATTCTTATATATTTACATATCGAACACCTAAACTTCAATTTTTACATATATCATCTTACCTCTGCATAAAAAAGAAGTATTTTACTTTTTATAAGTTAAAGTAGTAGTATTTTTTTTATGTGTTATGAAAGATTAGAGCAGTATAAATATAAAGAATCAAAGTTAAGGTGTTAGATATTTAAATACATAAGAATTAGGTGGTATGTATGCAAATGCTTCTATAAAAAATAAATAATTTAAAGTACACATAAAATTTAAGTCCAATTAATTCATATAAATACAAAAAACATTTATAA